CGGGGAACTTGAGCAAAGAGTTCATTGGCGTGAGTGAGCAGGAGTAAGTATTCCGTTGCTTTTATGGACTCGTTATCTATGGGCTTCTCCCTTGACGGGACGTCCCCCCGATTGCCTGCGAGCTTCTCCTCCTGTCTGTACGGTAATTTCTGTACAGCGCGACAGAGAGTCGAGTGGTTATGACGCAATCGTTAGCCTATTTTTACTAAATCTGTTTCTACGGGGCCATAATGTAACATAGAAGGTAATGGAGCCCTTTATACATTGTCGTGTTTCTTTAGGAATAAATAATGGACAAATGGAGTCTTTAAACGCCTCAGATGTAAAGTTATTCGCTGTCAAATTGACGCCAAAATGAATGGGAGTCAATGGAAATGCTAACGCAAGTAAAGTTCTGCTACAACATGGCGGCACCAAGGGGGTAATACATCGACCGGAAGTTGAAGCCGGCCGGGTACCGCCATCTTGTAGCAGAACTTCACTTGGGTTAGCATTTCCATTGACTCCCATTCATTTTGGCTTGGTGAGGCTCACAAGTAAGGTAAATAAAACACCTGTAATGATGGTGATTTGTTAGTATAGCATAAACATTCACAAAGTACCACTGTTAATTTAACATAAAAGCAAGCATAGGCTACTACGTGCGCTCCCTTAATAATTCCTAAAAACCTGATATCTCAACTCATCGCGATCTCACAAAGCTCCGTTATTATCAATGAAGCTGACTGCACAATACATCTTTCATAATGTCAACACTTCGTTTGTTATATAATCATGAGGATTTGCCAGCAAGCAGAATTCAGCACTGAACAAAAACTCAGTTTTGAGCGGTGAGTGGATTCTGTCTTAAATGCTTCTCATTGGCCATTCAAGAAATCAACACATAGCCTATGTCTGTGATTGGCTACATCGCTCAACAGCGCAAACATGTTATAAATAGAAACTAGTTCTTCTGGCCTGTAAATCGTTCTTGTTGCTTTTGTGCAACATATGAATAACAATTTATTTGTTTTTAGATGTTTTGTTTTTAGATATTTCTATTTTGCGGGAGTCCCGCGAATCGTTTTATTCTCCCGTAACCCGCACACACACGACACGAGTAACGTTACCTTACACACGCACTCGGCCATAGTCTCCATTGTGTGCATTTGTCTGTGGATTGACTGTTTTGAAACATATATGGTAGTTACATAACCCCTAGACTTCTATTATCATGAAAAAAGCCAGGAAATTTCATTTTTGACAACATGGGACCTTTAACAGATGAAACTTTGAAACTCAAACTCCAACGGTCCGTGGGAGTGACGTCTGAGGCTGAGACTAGCCGAGATCAAACCAACAACCTTCTCACATTCAGAGAGTCTCAGGTGCTTTCTTTGTGAACGTCCACCTTTGAACATCGATCATAATCCACACCCTGTAAACACAGCTGTGAACGACTGTTTTCGTGTTGATCCAGCTTGTGTGTGGCTCACGATTATAACATGTTGGATTATTATACAAATAAACTATGGTTCACTTATTTGCTTATATCAGTTACAGTATAAGACCTCAAAGAGTTAATCCACTGAACTTTTCTTCACATATTACACAGGGTATAATGACATGAATAATATTTTAAATTCATAAAGGTCATTTCAGGAACGAGTGCCTTTTCCATTTTAAACTGATTTTTAAAGTAATGTCTTACTCTGTTTTAAGCATTCAATCAGAAAGAAAATTATGTAAGTGTTAATAAATTGCTTTGTACCATTTCTAATACATTTACATAAAAAAAGACAAAATGCTTGCTTATTTTTTATATATTGTTTTCATTAAAATGTGCATTTTTGCAAATACAGGAAAAGATGGAAACACAGGGATAAAGTACAGGATTTTTGTTGATGTGTTTTGCATCAGATTTTCATTATGATTAAAGTATTTTTTGCATATACACCATAGTTCAAAAGATTTTTTAATGCTTTAGAAAGAAGTCTCTTGCTCGCCAATGCTGCATTTATTTGATCAGCAATACAGTAAAACAGTAATATTGCAAAATATTCGTAGAATTTAAAAGAACAGTTTTCTAGCGTAATATATTTTAAAATATAATTTATTCTTGTGATGCAAAGCTGAATTTCCAGCATCATTACTCCAGTCTTCAGTGTCACATGATCCTTCAGAAATCATTCTAATGTGATGATTTGCTGCCCAAGAAACATTTATGATTAATGTTGAAATCAGTTTTTGCAGCTTCATATTTTTGTAGAAACTGTGATAAAAATTTTCTTTGTCAAAAGGTCAAACGAACAGCATTTATTTAAAATAGAGATCTTGGCACCCATTTCAAATAATGACCCATGAGAATGCCCTCATATGTAGATCAATATGTGATTAAATAAAGTGTGCAATGAGTGTGATTATCCCAAATAACTGCAATCAAATTACATAATAATTGTGACAGACCCAGCTCTCGCTCTCTGAAATAGCACTGTGTGTGTGAAACTTCCCTTTTCTCCTGCATCTGTTTATGTAATCACTCTCTCCTCTCTTTCTGCCCTTCTGCCATCTCACATTCTCTCGTTCTCTGATCTCCAGAGGGACAGTGACATTAATGCCACATGTGACATCATCACGAACCTTCTGTAACCACAGAAACGGAGCAAAAACAACACGGATCGCCTCTCTGTAACACAATCCAGCACAACAAACAAACTAGAAAAAGTCAATATATATACGTGTTCTTAAAGTCAGCATGCATTTAAAATTGAACCTATATACACCTCCTAACTCCCTTTAAGCAACATTTATTGTCAAAGATTCATCAGTGCACATTAATGCAAAGAATAAAAGTGTTTCTCTATGTGACAGGCAATCGAAGAAGAGCTGGAAAACGGGAGGACATGATGACATCAGCAAAAAAGAAAGTTGAGCCTGTCTTAGTTTTTGTTCTCATTAAATATCCTGTTTTATTCGGAAATATGCCACAGTATGGAAGTAATATAACAATATAGTCATTTTATGAGGACTTTAAAGCCGTTTCTAAGAGATTTTTTTTTATTACCACACATAAAATGGTAAAATGTATTATTATTTCACAATTCTGACATTTTTTCTCACACTTGCAGGTTTATATCTTGCAATTCTGACTTTTTTTTTCTTAGAAGTTAAAGATATAAACTCGCAATTGCGAGAAAAAGTCAGAATTGAAAGATAAAATCACAATTGACAGAAAAAAGTCAGATTTGCGCATTTATATCTTACAATTTTGACTTTTTTCTTAGAATTGAAGGATATAAACTTGCGATTGTGAATTATAAAGTTAGAACTGCAAGATATAAACCTAATTGCGAGAAAAAATGTCACAATTGCACATTCATATCTCAAAATTTTGATTTTTTTTTCTTAGAATTGGAAGTATAACCTCGCAATTCTGAGAAAAAAAATCTGAATTGTGAGGAAAAAAAGTCGCAATCACCTTTTTTTTGTATTCCCTTGCAGAAACAAGCTTCCATACTTGACAGACAACTGAAACACGTGTCCGAAGAAATAACTCGTACTTCTTTGACAGAAAACTTGTTGTCAATCATTTTGCACCTTCAGGTTTGCTGACATTGGATTTGCTGCAATAGGTGGGATTTTGGAGAGTTGAAGTTGTAGTCAAAGAGATTGGGATGAACTAGTTGTGTGTGTGAGTGTGTCTGGCCCTATAAACAGCTTCTTTCATGTCTGTTTGAGAGGTGTACAAAGAGCACAGCTGCTTTGGCACATCTCTAAACCTGAACATTTACACACATACACACTTTTATCTCACTGCCATCACCCCGTCTCATCTCACCCACACAAAACAGCTTAAAGCCGAGCAACAACACACACTCTTACTCACAGTTTCATCACACACTTCAATAGACCGACACTGTATGAACTAGAGGTAGAGTGGGAAAACCCAATGAGAGGAGACAAAAAGACACACAAGAAAAAAAATATGGGAAAATCACTTAATTCCTCACCGTCTGACACAAAGAAGAGAATAATCACAAAAATATCTTATTTACTGCAATGAGAGTTTTCTGCTTCTCAGATGTTTCTCCTGACAGAAAAGCTCCAGTAATCTCACACTCGTCTCCTCGAGAGTTTCAGAACAGATCTCAACAAGGTCTCAAATGTGCTCAGATCTGCCAAGATAGCAGCCTGGATGCCAGCCGAACTTACCCCCGCCCACAACATTTGAGGATGGGAAGTTCGCTCTGGGCTTTATACGATGATGGACAGATGATCAACCGTAACGTAATCATCCACGTCCCCAAAGAGCGCTTGGGTTGAATTCGCTTACAACAAAGATGGCCGCCGCTGGAGAATTGAGATGTGTAGATTCAGCCATCGCGTCTGTTCTAGAAGATATCGACAGCGCATTCATTTTAAAAGAGGAACAGAGAACCGCGATCAAGGCATTTGCCGATCCAATTGAGCGTAGAGGCATTTTCTTTCCTGGTTCGGTTGAAACACGGCCCATAATCACAGCCCAATGGAGCAGTATCAGACTCATATGCTGACTAGAATCTGAGTATGACGACGTCAGGCTGCCAAAATAGTGGAAAAACATATTTTGTCATGACTTAATGATCATATCATTTAATTTTTATAGTGATCTATTGAAGAACGACCTCTGAGAAATCAAGTGTGCATCATGTAGATACATCTCATCATGAAAGGATCAACATTATTAGTTGTAGCAGACAACATCTGAATCCAACAGACACCAACTGGGAACCTTCATTTAGCTGGTCAATGACAATCAGGTAATATCTGCAAATAGATTCTGCTTAATAGAATTCAATTTCATTCAATTCAATTACCCCACTTGGATGTGAGCGTTGTGAACCAATTTTCTTAATATTAGTGCTAGCGGGGTGCTGTATTGTTCAGTGGCACACGCTAAGAAAGTCTCATTCCCTGCATCCAGACGTCTCCTGTTATGTGTGTGCAAAAGTGCATTCATAAATGAAAAAGGAATAACATACCACCATCTTGTTGAGGGAGACCCAGCAGTCTGATGGGAAGTCTTGCAGCATTGGCACCAGAAACTGCAGGCACCCGTCCCAGTGGCACAGCAACAACATCATCGCTATCAGGTTAATGATGCGCATCACTGCGCTCGCCAGGTCATACGTCATGTGGAAGATCTGCGAGGGCACAATCACAACACAGCATTAGCAAAAGTTTGTCTTATAAAAGTTATGTAAAAAAAAAAAAAAAGGATCCAGGAAGCCTGTTTGAAAACATTATTTTTGTAATTCCGTTTGGTGCCACTAGAGACAGAAATTACACACTTTACTATGAAGAAATAGGGAAGAAAATGGAAACGCTGCATTAACATTAGCATTTATTAATTGTCTTTTTTAATTATCTACATATATATACACACATATACAGTGAACACACCCATGCTAAAGTTGACTAAAAAGATGAATAAAAAGTCCTCTTTTGGAAATCGATCTTAATGCCTTAATTAAGAAAATTAGGAAAAATCCAACCTTTAAGGACACCAATTTTCTTTGTGAATAATGTGTTGTAAATAAATAAATGTTCTTCCTTAAAATACATGGTGCATAAGTCAGGACACCCCTGTGTTGAATTCCCATAGAGGCAGGCAGATTTGTATTTTTAAAGGCCAGTTGTTTAATGGATCCAGGACACTATGCATCCTGATAAAGTTCCCTTGGCCTTTGTGAATAAAAAAAGCCCTAAATCATCACACACCCTTCACCATACCCAGAGTTTTCCATAAGATCATCTCTCAATGCAAATCAAACCAGCTTTAGGCTAACTGAAATACAACCATGCCAATCTCTAGGTATCACTTATGCTGAGCACTGTAATAACACACATAAAATGACTTTTTATTTCACAATTCTGACATTTTTTCTCACAATTGCAGGTTTATATCTTGCAATTTTGACTTTTTTTTCTTAGAAGTTAAAGATATAGGTAACACTTTACTTGAAGGGGTGTACATAAGACTGACATGACACCTTCATAACCATGACATGACATATGTCATGAATATGAAGTAGGGTTTATGCATATTTATGACAACTGTCATTAAGTGTATTTCGCTCAATAATGACATTTTGAATGCAAATTTGACATTGTTTAAGATGTCTTTGTTATGACACCTTGACATAAACCATAACATCATAACCTGTCAGTGTCTTTGTCATGACAACTTGACATTAAATTAAGTTAAACTGTCATGTGGTTGGTTTTGACATTGGCTGTCATAAGGCCATTATAACTGTGTCATGAATATTTTTCGTGACCTCAACTACAGTGGTACAAATTGAATTTGTCATTAAACAGTTATAATGGCTTCATGACAGCCAATGTCAAAACCAACCACATGACAGTTTAATGTAATGTTAACCAATAAAGCTAAGTGGTTTCTTAAGTTTGATAATTAATCTGCTATGTTTATGACAGGTTGTGTTGTCTTAGTAATGTCAAGTTGTCATGACAAAGACACTGACAGGTTATGATGTTATGGTTTATGTCAAGGTGTCATAACAAAGACATCTCAAACAATGTCATATTTGCATTAAAAATGTCATAATTGAGCGAATGACACTTAATGACAGTTGTCACAAACATGCATAAAACTTCCTTCATATTCATAACATGTGTCATATCATAATTATGAAGGTGTCATGTTAGTCTTATGCACACCCCTTCAAGTAAAGTGTTACCAAGATATAAACTCGCAATAGCCAGAAACAGACAGAATTGAAAGAAAAATGTCAGAATTGTGAAATTATATCTCACAATTTTGATTTTTGTTTCTTAGAATTGAAAGATATAAACTCTCAGTTGTGAGTTATAAAGTCCGAATTGCTAAATACAAACTAGCAATTCTGAGAGAAAAAATTCATAATTGTGAGAAATGAGTTATATATATATAAATATATAAATATATATATAGGCTACAGTACAGTATGTACACATTACACACATATATATATACACACAGTCTGTGTGTGTGTGTGTGTGTGTGTGTGTGTGTGTGTGTGTGTGTGTGTGTGTGTGTGTGTGTGTGTGTGTGTGTGTGTGACGACTGAACCGATCAAACACACCATCTTCACAACCCCTCACCCAGACACTCAGAGATGTCTTGCTCTTGCTCACCTCATACTCATCAGAAAAGTACAGGCTACAACAAACAGACATGCAGTCCCATACAAATGCAATTCTCTCCACTGATCCATTCACAAGTCTGTCTAATGAACGAACATGCATTTCCCCCACGACATTTTGTGTATTATTACTTTTTGTATAGTGTCTGTTTATATTGTATAGTGTTTCGCATGCCTGAGGATAGAAGAACTACTAGTTAATGTCTGGGTGGAGGTGTCTCCTATCAAAATACCGGTAGTCATCATTTAATGACTCACACTTTGGTGGAAATCACCTTCTCATAGAATGCAGTGTGTGTATGTTATATAAATGGACACAAACTGCCAGCTTACTCCAATCATGCAAATGAGTCGGCTTTCAAACAAAGGAACTTTCCCGCTTGAGAATTGCACCTTTCTCATTGGTCAAGCCAAAACTCGAAGGTGTAAACTCGCGCTCGATCAATCCAATGGCGGTATTCGATGAGCACGGAAGGTCTCTGCGAACCCGAACATTAGGAAAATAGCCTACGTGAAGCTGTAGGACATGAGACGGGACCCCAAATTTGGACTACCGGTACCATTTTGAGGGATTAAATTTCTTTTTGATTTTCATGAAGGTACACATCTCTAGTGTTGGAAAATGTGTGATAGCATCCGATCCATGGTAGCTTTCATTAGAAATCAACACTTATATCATCCTACCTCAAGGTAAGGTGTTCAGTGACTACAAGAGAGAAAAATGTATCCTTTTATCATTTTAAAAATTTATTTTAAAAAAATTATAATTTTTTTATTATAAAAATTTATAAAATTTCATAAAATTTTATTAAAAAAATTATAAAATTTAAAATGTATTTAAAGATAAATAAATTCATTATTCCTTTTTCTTGACATATGTTTGGAAATCGTCCTCCGTAACCAAAAACTACCTTGAATCTAATGCTATCACACATTTTTCAAATACAGGGTCATATACCTACACAAAAATCACCATGCGGTTTAATCCCTCAAAATGGTACCAATCAACCCTCTGTCTCACGGCCTACTGGGAGTCTAGCGGACTCCAGCCTCACGGGCTCATCTGAGGTACAGAAAAGGCCCTGATCTTCTAGTTGCATTTCATTATATAGCCAGACCTCATTTCATAAACATTAGTTTACAGTGGAATTTTACTGCGATCAACCTCCCAGACTTACTGGGGATGGAAGTTCACCATTTGCTAACAGTGGGAATTTGCATTCAGGAATTTACACCTTTTGGTGGTAGGACCATGCCTAGAGACCACATTCCTTTGTGTGCCAGTTATCCCTAAACCCTTAAAAGCCTTATTACCTTTTGTTTTACTTATTTGGAAATAGGACACTTGTACCAGTCGCAATGAGACATTTCAAATAATACTAAACACATGTATAAAACTGTATGATAGTTGTTCAAATTAAAACCATATAGATCCTTATGTGAGTTTGGGTGATCTCTGTAAGATCGGGGGATGCGGGGAAGAAGTGTGTGGAGACAGTTCAAATGTTAATTTACAGCAAGGTCCTTCGTCACCAGTGTTTCCAGTCTTACAAAGGTGTGACCTGTTATTTTTCTGTGGCCACAGAAAATATACTTTCTGAGAGTTTATAGACTATTAATACTGGGTGTTCGCTGGACGAACAGATTCATTGATTGTAATATTAATTCAGCTATACGGGAAGTTAATTCGATTAACTGATCCAAATATTTATAATGAATTATAACAAGTTATAATTCATTATTTATATTTCCCTTGTGAGCTAATTTGCTACAGATGTGATATATATAATATACATAAATGTTTATAAAAATAGCATCTTTAAATGCTATATATTTTTAATGTAAACAACTTTGGTACATGTTTTAAATGTGCTTTACTTGACAAATGAAGGTTAAACTTTACTGTACAAATGTTCTCCTTTGTGAAAAATGATATATATCCGTATTACAGTATTTGTTCTTTCTGGGTCTTGGTTGTCGAGAGGGTTTGTCTAAAGCCCAGCAGCAGCTACACACCGATCCTCCTGAGTTTACTTAGTGAAACGAGTACGCTACTTTGTGAGCAGCTAATCAGACCTTTGTGAACAAATGCACCCAAAGGTCTCATTCTCGTCTCTCTCTCTCTCTCTCTTCCTGTTTTCCATTACAGATCTTTTCATCTATATTTTTCATCTTTCACCTCTCTGCAGAATTTCAAAGCAAATAAACAGACGAAGCAGCGTGTATCATCATCATAGACTCACTTCAAGAGAAATCTCCATGTACCATTTAGCTATAATTGTCAAGTAATCCCATTTTGGAAATGTGTTCACCATTATAAGTAAGAGCACCTATGATCTAGAGAAAGTTCTGATGGAGAAGATTGCAATGTGTAAAAACAACACAACATTACATACTGTAACATAACATAACATAACAACATGACATATAACATAAAACATAATATAACATGACACATAACTTAACACAACATAACACAACACATAACATGACACATAACATAAAACATAACATGGAACATAACATAACATAAAACATAACATAACAACACATAACATAAAACAACAAAAAATAACACAACGTGTCAACAACATAGTATAACACATTACATAAGATAAAATAAAACAACACAACATAACATACTGTAACAACATAACATACTGTAACATAACAAATGAACACACAACATAACAACATGCCACATAACAAAACAACGTGAAACAACACGTAACAACATAAAACAACACATAACATAACATAAAACAACACAACATAAAACAACACATAACATAACATAAAACAACACATAACAACATAAAACAACATAAAACAACACATAACAACATAAAACAACACATAACACAACTCAACATAACATAACAACATAAAGCAACACAACATAACATACTGTAACATAACAAATGAACACACAACATAACAACATGCCACATAACAAAACATAACATAACACATAGGCCCACCTTAACATAACATAA